GATCTGTTGTTTATTGCCAACTACCAGGTGAATGAAAATTTAATTAATGGTGTTGACAGTTGAAAGTATACCTCAAGGCGCCTGGCTTTTCCAGGATTGTAAACTTCTGTCTTCTTGTAGCCATAACCCTTTGTACATGTGTACTGTAAGGATTGCATTGGACTTTCTGTTCTCTGAGATGGATAACGCTGGTTACTATTTGCACAGTGTTGCTCTGGTTGTAAGATTGATTTTTCTGAAGCAATTTCCCTTGGATCCCTGCAGAATGGCATGTGTATGAAATGCTCTACTGGACTCGGAGAGAAACCAGTCTGTACCTCCTTGTCTTTAACATACAGAATAATGCAATGTGTAATTATTTTTTCCATATGAAGTTTTTTCATGTTTATTCTTATACACTGTCGCTGTATTGCTGCAAAGTAATGAAGTTTAAATTTACTGGGTTCACTACTGTTGTCTTTTCCCTTATTATTTTTCCCATTTCCTGAATAAGGTCTTAAGGAACACAATTTTTCATAACTTGTGTCCCAATTTTCAGTATATTTGAAACTGACAACTAGCCTTCCTTTCTGTTATTAGGAATGTGTGCCATGTGACAGTTTGACGTGCAGTTGAATAGTTGACTCATTGACTTGGAGATCCACAAAGTTTCTGGATTATATGTGTTACTTAATTATAAATTAGTTTATGATTATTAAACAGCCTGTCAAGAATTACATGAAAATCTGAAGTAGTCCTTAAAAACACACATTTTTCTTGAAAAGTGTAACAAAGCAGCATTTTAGAGTTAAAAGTCATTACTTATCATTGCTTAATTATGAGATGTGAATCATTAACACACGCACACATCTGTGTTGCTGTGTTATATAGAAGTACACACACATGATAGGCCAAGGATGAGCGAACAAACTTTTGTTTCCGTCCATTGCTTCCACAAAGCATCCTATAAAACTTAAGATTAAGTAATGTTGAGTAACAGAAAAGTTCAAGTCTTTGCTTATCTTTACTTAATTAAGGAATAAAATTTCATTTAATGTAGTTTATGTTGTGCCAGCGGCCCCTTGCCGTGTATTTGCACCCCTGGGTAGCACTTGTTTCAGTAATCTTGGGATTTCACAGTGTTACGCAAAATACAGGATGACTGGTGGGAAGTCGGATTAAACCAACCACTCTTCCTACCGCAGAAGTTAACATCCAAGTTCTGTATTTTCTTGGGGAAATAATGCATACGTGACTTCCATAATGTGGTTAGGGGAATTACGAATCCAATTGACCAATGAGAAACGCCGATTCCAGGGCGGTTCCCGTGAACCACGTCATAACTGCGCGTCTTTTGATCTATATAAAATTGAAGGATTGGTACTAAAAAGGGGCTCTCGCTAATAATAAAGGTTGCTACTGGAATCTGTGTCGCTCGTGCTCGCCATGTTGCTGTTGCTCGCATTGGTGTGTGGTCTGGGTGAGTAATTGTTTGTTCTACTGTGACTGTAGGCGAGATACTTGGTCTGGTTCGAGCTAGTTAATGGGTCAGTGAAATATATTTTATAATTAAATATTAATAATGTAACTTTTGTAATTGGAGTCTTATTTAGTAAATTAGGGTTACCGCTCCTTATTCAATTCCCTTACCTGGTGGATAGGGAGAGCATAATATTTATTCTCAAATATGATTTTATATCAAAGTTATAAAAACTGTGCTGCGTTGTATAGAAGTACGTGTATGTGTGGATGAATGATCACCAGCCAACGCTTGCCTGTTATATGAATGGATGCTGTATCAGTTCAAGTCATAGCATCAAATGAGATAATTATTATGTGTAGTGAGATGTTTTACAATGAGGACATATTGGTGATTGCCAATTTAAAGGTATTATTCGTACATTACACACGGTGGTCTAGCGGTTAGAACGCTGGCCTTGTAAGCCTGGGGTCCCGGGTTCAATTCCCGGTGGTGCTCAAATTTATAACTTGTGTTGGGCAAGGCCGTGGTCTAGGCATCACGGAGTTTTCCTCCGGGGGCTTCCCCGGTTTCTCCGTGGCATCCCAACAATTACTCCATTCACACACAGAAGAAGGCAATGGCAAACCACTTCTGATCATCTCTGCCAAGAATGTATATATGTATGAGCAGGTCCCTGACAACCTGAAGAGGTTGGAAGGATCCTGTTCATGATATATGGACCTGTCGTCAGACAGAACACTACAAATAATAAAATTCGTACATTACTGTAAAAGGACTGAGAAAAATCAGGAGAAACACTATGCTAGCTGGTGCTCAGTCTGGGGTTTGAACTTCAAACATCCTTAATTCAAGTTGCATGTCTTACTGTTAGGGTGGCTTTTTGCAATGTTTACGGTGTTGTCTTTCAACAATTTCTCCATTTATTGATGAAAACAAGAAGCTGACCATGTGAATTTTATGGAAGTTTCTATTTGAATGGAACTATGCATAAAATTACCTCTCATGGAACATTTATCTACTTTCTGTAGTGCAAATTTTCCTCGCTGAAGTGGTGCGTCCCATTTTTCTTCAGTATCTTCAGTAAGCTTTGAAGGTTCTAGCCTGTAAAAAAAATTAAAGCACGTATTGAAATTGCTCCACCTGTTCATATTTGATATTGGTGAATCTTGTGAAAACTTGATGAGTCATTTCAGTTTTAATTTATATTGGGCAATTTTAATGAGCATTTCACAAAAAAGCATAAGATTTCTTGGTGTAATCTTATGACGACAGGTAATACAATACAAAAACAAATACTTCGCTTATTTCAGCAGGTCACAATTGATAAGAGAAACAAAATAAGTCTCATTTGAGTTTAGACTCTGCTGAAGTCAACTGTATTTTCTTTTGTTAAACTAGTTTTGTGTTACTGTACTCATGAAGAATTTATCAAATAAGTTATATATGTTTAGTATTTTCCCATTGTATGTACGTAATAACAGTGAACATTGATGGTAATTACTGTTTATTCAATTTGTCAGCAGTTTTAACAAGTATCAACTGACAGTGAATAGTTGCATGTGAGTTTAATCTTTTGTTTATTAATGTGTAAAGAGTTCGTCATGGTTATAATTATTCAGTTTAAAGAAGAGCTTTACTTCCATGGATCATCTCAAGTGAACAAGTATTATATCAGTTTAGATTTGTTTTATAATTCCTTCTGCTAAATATGCTGTGTACTTTTCAATCTTGTCCCCTCTCACCCTGAAGTAACAGGATCATTGAGATTTGTAGTTTCAAAGTAAGGGAAGTCTTGCTGAAGATGGAAGGGCAGTTTCCAGACGGTGGGGCGCTGTTTGCCGAGGACAAGTGACGCATGAGCTCCGCATTCAACTCGCTCCAGCAGTACGGACACCTTGTTGCATTTATCCAATCCACTCATGGCACTTTGGTTATATAAGTGGATCTATCAAAACAAAACCCACCACTTGTATGCATACATGTAAAAAGTTTAATTTTAAACCTCTAGGTGGATCTTAGTACTGTGTAATAATTTTGAGCATATTTACTATGTAAAATGTAAATGTGCTAATTTTATCAGTCGATCTGCACAGTTGTTCCGTATTTATGAGGACTGGCAGTAGTTTTAGACTCAGAAGAGAGGAATGGCGTGACTTAACGGCAGCTACACACCTTTCCTGATCTTATAAATGTTTTATATAAAATTTCACAAAAACACATCTACAGCACGTTAATATCTGTAAATCTTATTTGAAATACTTTATTATTTTAAATATATTAACAGAAAAGGCCAATTAAAATTGAATGGGAAGTAATTTGCTTTATATCTTCACCTCTTAATATTTTTCTTTGTTTTATTTTCATACATTATATCCTTTAGAAACGTGTCTGAAACACTAAACACTTGTAGAATTTGCAAAATAGAACATTCTGCCATCTAGGGTCATTACTAAGACCTTGGTGAGTCATTTATAGCACACAGCATCCTGTTATGTATATGTTGTATTTAAAAAGTACATAAGAACTTAATTTGTGCTCTTATATCGTGCCAGTGGACTGTTGCAAACAGAAATTAAATCTGCGCAGTGATTTGTAGTACAGATGTTCTGTACCAAATGTTATCAAGATCCGTCAATTGTTGGAACACGAAACAACTGAGCTGGCAACTGATGAACAGATGCATGTAAGGAATCTTACATTTAATACATGCACACATATAGAACCTAAATCCAATTTGGATGTGCAACAAAAATCAGGTGTCTACAATTTTTCGAAGTCTGAAACCAGAAGTGATAAAGGCATACAGCTGACATCCTTACTCCAGTTATTTGTGACTTCTTTGTGTTTGTCTGAGTGTGAGTCTTGCAGTAATTAGAATTGGTTACGCCAGAAATATCTGGAAAGGAAATGGTATGTTTCACAAAATATAAATGCTACTAAAGTATGTCATATTCGAACACAGAACCTTTAAATCAGAATGCCAATGAACAAAAAATCACAAAAGTAGTCTTCACATTTATTTTGGCATGGAAACTAGTCACATGTCTTGGGAAAGTCATTCATGTTTTTTTCTTTGTCAAACTAATCCGACATATTGGTATCTTTGTTTCCTACACATCTGACATAAGTAATTGAAAAATGTGAGGAAATTACAAATGATTGAAATGATCGTGCCAGCTATATCGTTCATTACTTCTGGTTTTGGACTTTGAAAATTTTGAGCAATTATTTATTCTGTTTTCACAGAATGTCCAACTGGAGGAGTACTGACCCCAGTTAGCAATAAATATTACAATAATGTGTTTTCTGAAACTTGAGATCACATAACCGTAGAAATATTTTAAAATAGTGTATGTGAAAATATCTGAAATCTCCCATAATTGCATTAAGGACGATATCTTGGTTATTTCTCAAGCTCTGAAAGATCACAACTGACCTGCTGGGAGAGGTAGACCAGATCCTGTTGTCTGGCAGCACGGTATATAAGCAGCACTTGAAATATGGTTTTTGCTTTCCATCTTCTGTAGTACTCGAGTATAAATTTCATTGTGTTTACATCCAGTTTTCCTGTGAGCCCATCAGAATAATTACTTCAATGTAGTAGTGTACACCTTTACGTTCAAAGGCCTGCTTAAGAATAACTGCTTCTCCATGTAATACGTGAGCTTTAATACGTCAGCAGCAAATGTGTTAATTAATACAATCTTATTAGTATTTACAGTTTCTTTTCATTATTATTATAACAGGTAATGATGTCATATCTTACGTTTTGTCACTGACCCCAGTTGTTTTCGTACGCAGTAGCCGCGGAATTCTGAAAGAGAAACGTTGTATTTCAGGTTATTTTTGTAGTTACAACTCTGTATTGGTTTCTGTATCAGCTGAAGTCCCAAATCAAGAATATGTACATTTCTGACAATTTTGAAAGAATGATTTTGTCAGGGCATGCAGTGTGCGTGGAGCAAGGAAAAATGCATATAACATTTTAGTTAGGAAATCTGACTATAAGACACCACTTGGAAGACACAGGCATATATAATATTAATAAAATAAGGGTGTGAGGGAATGGATTGAATTAAAATGGCTTAGAATAGAGTTGAAGGTGACTGGATTTTGTTGGCCCAGGACAGGGACCGGTGGAGGGCTTTGGTTAATTCTATGATGAACCTTTGGGTTCCCTAAGCTAGCTGGTTAGTTAGTTAGAATAGAGTCCAGTGGTATGCTCACATGTAGAACCAGAAAGT